TATATGGGTGAGTGTCTACAAGTGAGGTGTATATGGGTGAGTGCTCCACAAGTGAGGTGTATATGGGTGAGTGCTCCACAAGTGAGGTGTATATGGGTGAGTGCTCCACAAGTGAGGTGTATATGGGTGAGCTCCACAACTGAGGTGTATATGGGTGGGTGCTCCACAACTGAGGTGTATATGGGTGAGTGCTCCACAAGTGAGGTGTATAGGGTGGGCTCCACAAGTGAGGTGTATATGGGTGGGTGCTCTACAACTGAGGTGTATATGGGTGAGTGCTCACAAGTGGGGTGTATATGGGTGAGTGCTCCACAAGTGAGGGTGTATATGGGTGAGTGCCACAACTGAGGGGTGTATATGGGTGAGCTCCACAAGTGAGGTGTATGGTGGGTGCTCCAACTGAGGTGTATATGGGTGAGTGCTCCACAAGTGAGGTGTATATGGGTGAGCCCACAAGTGAGGTGTATATGGGTGAGCTCCACAAGTGAGGTGTGTATGTGGTGCTCACAAGTGAGGTGTATATGGGTGGGTGCTCCACAAGTGAGGTGTATATGGGTGAGCTCCACACCTGAGGTGTATATGGGGTGAGTGCTCCACAAGTGAGGTGTATATGTGAGTGCTCCACAAGTGAGGTGTCTATGAGTGGTGCTCCACAGCTGAGGTGTATATGGGTGAGTCTCCACAAGTGAGGTGGTGTATATGGGTGAGTGCTCCACAAGTGAGGTGTATATGGGTGAGTGCTCCACAACTGAGGTGTATATGGGTGAGCTCCACAAGTGAGGTGTATATGGGTGAGTGTCTACAAGTGAGGTGTATATGGGTGAGTGCTCCACAAGTGAGGTATGGGTGGGTGCTCCACAACTGAGGTGTATATGGGTGGGTGCTCCACAACTGAGGTAGGTTTATGGGTGAGTGTCTTCACAAGTGAGGTGTCTATGGTGGGTGCTCCACAACTGGAGGTGTATATGGGTGGGTGCTCCACAACTGGGGTTTATGGGTGAGTGCTCCAGAAGTGAGGTGTATATGGGTGAGTGCTCACAAGTGAGGTGTATATGGGTGGGTGCTCACAACTGGGTGTATGGAGTGAGCTCCACAGCTGGGGTGTATGTGGGGTGAGCTCCACAAGTGAGGTGTGTATATGGGTGAGCTCCACAAGTGAGGTGTATATGGGTGAGCTCCTCAGGTGAGGTGTATATGGGTGCTCCACGTGAGGTGTGTATGGGTGAGTGCTCCACGTGAGGTGTATGGGTGAGTGCTCCAAGAGTGGGGTGTATATGGGTGGGTGCTCCACAACTGAGGTGTATATGGGTGAGCCCACAAGTGAGGTGTATATGGGTGAGCTCACAAGGGGGTGTATTGGGTGAGTGCTACACAAGTGAGGTAGTGGGTGAGCTCCACAACTGAGGTGTATATGGGTGAGTGTCTACAAGTGAGGTGTTTATGGGTGGGCTCCACAACTGAGGTGTGTATGTGAGTGCTCCACAAGTGAGGTATATGGGTGAGCTCACAAGTGGGGTGTACATGGGTGAGTGCTCCACAAGTGAGGTGTTTATGGGTGAGCCCACAACTGAGGTGTATATGGGTGAGTGCTCACAACTGGGGTGTTTATGGTTGAGTGCTCACAAGTGAGATGTATATGGGTGAGTGCTCTACAAGTGAGGTGTCTATGGGTGGGTGCTCACAAGTGAGGTGTGTATATGGTGAGCTCCACAAGTGAGGTGTATATGGGTGAGTGCCCACAAGTGAGGTGTTTATGGTGAGTGCTACACAAGTGAGGTGTGTATATGGAGTGCTCCAACTGAGGTGTTTATGGGTGAGTGCTCCAAGTGAGGTGTGTATATGGGTGAGTGCTCCACAAGTGAGGTGTCTATGGGTGGGTGCTCCACAGAGTGAGGTGTATATGGGTGAGCATCACAAGTGAGGTGTATATGGGTGAGCTCCACAAGTGAGGTGTCTATGGGTGGGTGCTCCACAAGTGAGGTGTATATGGGTGGGTGCTCACAAGTGAGGTGTAGTTATGGGTGAGTGCTCCACAACTGAGGTGTATATGGGTGAGTCTCACAACTGAGGTGTATATGGGTGAGTGCTCCACAACTGAGGTGTTTATGGGTGAGCTACACAAGTGAGGTGTATATGGGTGAGTGCTCCACAAGTGAGGTGTATATGGGTGAGCTCCACAACTGAGGTGTATATGGGTGAGCTCACAACTTAGTGTATATGGGTGAGCTCCACAAGTGAGGTGTATATATGGGTGAGTGCTCCAAGTAAGGTGTTTATGGGTGAGTGCTAACAAGTGGGGTGTATATGGGTGAGCTCCACAAGTGAGGGTGTATGTGGGTGAGCTCACAAGTGAGGTGTCTATGGGTGGGTGCTCACAAGTGAGGGTGTATGGTGCTCACAAGTGGGGTGTATATGGGTGAGCTCCACAAGTGAGGTGTATATGGGTGAGTGCTCCACAAGTGAGTGTATATGGGTGAGCTCCACAACTGAGGTGTATATGGGTGAGTGCTCCACAACTGAGGTGTATATGGGTGGGTGTTCCCACAAGTGAGGTGTATATGGGTGAGTGCTCCAACTGAGGTGTATATGGGTGAGTGCTCACAAGGAGGTGTATATGGGTGAGTGCTCCAAGTGAGGTGTATATGGGTGAGTGCTCACAAGTGGGGTGTATATGGGTGAGTGCTCCTGAAGTGAGGTGTATATGGGTGAGCTCCACAACTGGGGTGTATATGGGTGAGTGCTCCACAACTGGGGTGTATATGGGTGGGTGCTCCACAAGTGGGGTGTATATGGGTAGTGTCTACAACTGAGGGTGTATATGGGTGAGTGCCCACAACTGAGGTGTATATGGGTGAGTGCTCCACAAGTGAGGTGTATATGGGTGAGTGCTCACAAGTGAGGTGTATATGGGTGGAGTGCTCTACAAGAGGTGTATATGGGTGAGTGCTCCACAACTGGGGTGTATTGGGTGAGTGCTCCACAAGTGAGGTATATATGGAGTGCTCCACAACTGGGGTGTATATGGGTGAGTGCTCCACAAGTGAGGTGTATATGGGTGGAGTGTCCACAAGTGAGGTGTATATGGGTGAGTGCTCCACAAGTGGGGTGTATATGGGTGAGTGCTCCACAAGTGGGGTGTATATGGGTGAGTGCTCCACAACTGGGGTGTATATGGGTGAGTGCTCCACGAGGTGTGTATATGGGTGAGTGCTCCACAAGTGAGAGGTGTATGTGGGTGAGTGCTCCACAAGTGGGGTGTATATGGGTGAGTGCTCCACAACTGAGGGTGTTTATGGGTGAGTGCTCCACAAGTGAGGTGTATATGGTGGGTGCTCCACAAGTGGGGTGTATATGTGAGCTACACAAGTGAGGTGTATATGGGTGAGTGCTCACAACTGAGGTGTATATGGGTGAGTGCTCCACAACTGAGGTGTTTATGGGTGAGTGCTCCACAAGTGAGGTGTATATGGGTGGGTGCTCCACAAGTGAGGTGTATATGGGTGAGCTACACAAGTGAGGTGTATATGGGTGAGTGCTCCACAACTGGGGTGTATATGGGTGAGTGCTCACAAGTGAGGTGTATATGGGTGAGTGCTCACAAGTGGGGTGTATATGGGTGAGTGCTCACAACTGAGGTGTTTATGGGTGAGTCACCAAGTGGGGTGTATATGGGTGGTGCTCACAAGTGAGGTGTATATGGGTGAGCTCCACAAGTGAGGTGTATGTGGGTGAGTGCTCCAAGTCAGGTGTATATGGGTGAGCTCCACAACTGGGGTGTATATGGGTGAGTGCTCACAACTGAGGTGTAGGGTGGGTGCTCCACAAGTGGGGTGTATATGGGTGAGTGCTCACAACTGGAGGTGTATATGGGTGAGTGCTCCACAAGTGAGGTGTATATGGGTGAGTGCTCCACAAGTGTGGGTGTATATGGTGAGTGCTCACAAGTGAGGTGTATATGGGTGGGCTCACAACTGGGGTATGGGTGAGTGCTCCACAACTGGGGTGTATATGGGTGGGTGCTCACAAGTGAGGTGTATATGGGTGAGTGCTCACAACTGGGGTGTATATGGGTGAGTGCTCACAAGTGAGGTGTATATGGGTGAGTGCTCCACAACTGAGGGTGTATATGGGTGAGTGTCTACAAGTGAGGTGTATATGGGTGAGTGCCCACAACTGAGGTGTGTATATGGGTGAGTGCTCACAAGTGAGGTGTATATGGTGAGTGCTCCACAAGTGGAGGTGTTTAGGGTGAGTGCTCACAAGTGAGGTGTATATGGGTGGGTGCTCCACAAGTGGGGTGTATATGGGTGGCTCCACAAGTGAGGTGTATATGGGTGAGGCCCACAAGTGAGGTGTATATGGGTGAGTGTCTACATGTGAGGTATACACGGGTGAGTGCCACAACTGAGGTGTATATGGGTGAGTGCCACAACTGAGGTGTTTATGGGTGAGTGCTCCACAAGTGAGGTGTATATGGGTTAGTGCTCCATAAGTGAGGTGTATATGGGTTAGTGCTCCATAAGTGAGGTGTATATGGGTTAGTGCTCCATAAGTGAGGTGTATATGGGTTAGTGCTCCATAAGTGAGGTGTATAAGATGTATATGGGTTAGTGCTCCATAAGTGAGGTGTATATGGGTTAGTGCTCCACAAGTGAGGTGTATATAGGTTAGTGCTCCATAAGTGAGGTGTATATGGGTTAGTGCTCCATAAGTGAGGTGTATATGGGTGAGTGTCACAAATAAAGACTTAAATTCATGCCTAACTCTGGTTGCAGATATGAAACCGAGAAACTCGCCATGTATAGGCGTGAAATGCCGGTTGGAGAACCTGTCCAGGGATTACTGCTCCAGCAACATGAATATAACGTCTTCATTGTGTTTCCAGCCGAGTCGGTGCCTCAAAGTTCTTACGGCTACTTGGCACCCCCAGCACCCAACCCATTCTGTGAAAGGTGAAGTGAACAGTACCAGATTGTACTTTTATTTTGGCGAAACATATAAGAGCGTTAAGAAACAATATGGGTCACTATTGTAAAAATATCAGTTGAAGATTAAATTCATAAGAATATAGGTAATTCTGATACGATTTTTTTTAAATATATGTATTTACCTTTATGTTTTGGGATTTTTTTATAAAAAGATAAGTGTTGAAATTAACTGGTCACTTCTTAGGGGCCTCTAAGAGGTTGCGAGTGTGAAGTGCTAATGTTACTATTATTCTTTACATATGAGTCTCAGTATTACTAGCAGCATGCCCGAAATTTATGAGACATGTATTCACACATTTATTTGTATCATAAAAGTAGCAAAGGAAAGGATTTTGAGTGTATGAAGTGTATCCGTAGGTACAGGACCCAGTTGAAGATACAAGACGTGATCAGTGAAGCTGGTCGAAGTTGCGGCAGCAAGCTGAACTGTCTGTGTGGCAACTGCTGCAATCCTCATCCCAAGGTGATTCTCACTACCTCCTATGTCTTTCTGTATTGTTCACTTATCATTGTGTTGGTCTCTTAAAAGTTTCTCTACACGATATTAACACTAATGAGTGTTGTTATATACCAGTTCTCATGACTATATAGATCGATGTTCTCACGTCTCACCTCATCAAGTAAAAGAAATCCTTATAAACACAGCAGTTTCTAACTTGGGAATTATTATGGATTTTACAAAGATACAAAGATGAAGTTCGGTGAGTTTACTATAGCAATAAAACATCAGAATTTTGACGAAACACTTTTGTGAGCGGAATACCTGGTTAATAAATACCTTCGTTCACCTCTCGTGAAACATCCATTGTTCGAGCGGACCAATTTTCTGCTAATGGATGATCAGAGTTTCTAGTCCGAAAATAATTTCTTATTTTCCTTCCAACAAACAAACATGATTTAAAACAAGCAGATGTGTTTATTAATAAGTTGGGCGTGTAAGCCACCCAGAGAGGTGGCCCAGCCCAGCCCAGCCCAGCCCAGCCCAGCCCTCACTAATAATATTACTTCATGTTGCAAGCAGCTGCCTCACCAGGACCACCACCCCATGCTCAGGCTCTTCCTTCACTTCTTGTCTCAAAAAAACTTCTCTCACGCTAAGAAGGTAACAGTGCCTAACACTGTGAGGGTAAGAGTGCCTGACACTGTGAGGGTAAGAGTGCCCTTGTTGTCTTCTAAATTCTAAGTGTCATCTTATCAGTTAACTCACACATCATAAACTAAACATGTTAACATACACCTAATATTTATAGGTAAATCATTTGACAACAAATTATAGGTCAGTAACGTGAGAACTGACATAACTTATGATTCTAGAGTTTATAAATGACAAATTCACTTTATTTAACAAACATATTCTTCCCTCTGGAACCCTGTGTTTGTGTTGATAAAGATCCTCATATTACCGTCAAGATATAGTGCCAGGTAACTTTTATCACAAGTTGAGAGATGATGTTATGACCCATTTTTCTCTCTCCTTCAGGATGTTGTTCTCAGGATGCTTCTGGAACAAAAATTTTCAAAATTGGTCGAAAAAATTACAAATACAAAGAAGCAGGTAAGACTCTTCCCTCAGTCAATTATATATACGTATATATTTTTACTATTCCATAGCACCTCCCACTTAATAAGGGTCTACTGATGTGTTTTCTTCAATTAACATATAAGTAAAGGGAATATGAAGTTGCTTATACAATCCAATACAATGCAGTAAACAAAATAATTTCATATTTTAGGTAATTTTTACATCCATTAGATTCAAAGGACTGACGACCAATAATTAATGTTTTGTATTTTCAGGAAAAAATGTTCCAAGATACACAAGCTGTCCTGCGCCAAGAACAACCCCAAAATTTCCCCTTGCTAGCATGAAGACTTGTTGAGCATATTGCCCTTCTTAAGAGGCTCAGCCTGTATCTTGGAGATAAGGGCCAGCCTATAGCTGGATCAGTGGCAGGCTTCAACTAGATTACTGCTAACTTACAACTAGATTAGTGTCAGGCTATAACTAGATTAGCGCCAGGCTACAACTGGATCAGTGCCGCGCTATAGCTAGATTAGTGCCAGGCTAAAACTGGATCAGTGTCAGGTTACAACTGGATCAGCGCCAGGTTTCAACTGGATCAGCGCCAGTCTACAACTGGATCAGTGCCAGGGAACAACTGGAGCAGTGCCAGGGTACAACTGGATCAGTGCCAGGGTACAACTGGATCAGTGCCAGGGTACAACTGGAGCAGTGCCAGGGTACAACTGGATCAGTGCCAGGCTACAACTGGATCAGCGCCAGGCTACAACTATATAATTACCAGTTAACATAATACTAGAGACTCCCCCAAGGCGTCGATATGTGGTGAACACTAGGCTCACCTCATTCTCTGGTGAAAGGAATGTTATGGAGGAGAAAGAGAACATATTCTATATGGCGATTTCCATTCTTGAATTGTATCACATTCTTCTTTGCACACACACACACACACACAGTTCACATTAAATATTAATACTGTACAGTAATTTAAATAAACTTATACAGTGTGTACTGTATATACAGTATATCAAACATTTCAGGAAAAATTGCCAAATAGTGATTTCTTAGAAATATATACGTACAGTATATACAGTATGTATTTCTTATGTATGCATGGGAACAATCATGTAAATAATCATAATATAAATTACTGTATAAATGAATAGAATCCATAATAATTATAGTAATATGTCCTAAGCTAAGCTAAGCGAAGCTAATCTAAGCTATTTTGAGGAGAGATGTGTATTGTCCAGATAACAAACTTTCATTTAAGAAACACTCACCTTGATAATATTTTGTCAATTTTTGGGGAAACAACTTTAAAGTTTTCGCTGTTTAGCAAATTAGTCCATTGCTCCGTCAGGTTTAATCAACCCATTAATACTAAAACGCAAGATATGTTCTTTTTGTGATGTAAATTTCAAGAAATTGAAAGCAAAATATCAAATTCTTTTTTTGTTATTACTGTATTAGAAGAAGTAGCAGTATTACAATAGTAATGTTAATAGTAGTAGTAATAATAATAGTAATACCTGCAGTAGTAGTAGTAGTAGTAGTAGTACAGTTCCTGTAGTAATAGCAGTAATAGTAGTACCTGTAGTAATAGCAGTAATAGTAGTACCTGTAGTAGTTTTTTTGTCATTACAATATCTTGGTAGCAATCTTTAAAACTCGAGAAGCAATCGTTCATAATCTTGGTACAGATCATGGGCAGAAACAGATCAAGTTTGTTCCATGGAAGTTTTCTTCTATAAGAGAGTGAAAAAAGTATACCTTGTTAAATGTATCTAAGAAAAGATATTATTATTATTATTATTATTATTATTATTATTATTATTATTATTATTATTATTATTATTATTATTATTATTATTATTATTATTATTATTATTACTGTATCATGTTTAATATTAATGTAGTTTTTCAAGTAACAGATAAGTGAAATCCATTCTATGTAAGATTTTGTTAGTTTACATTATATGAATCACCAGAAGAATCGCCACCCCAGCTAATTTCACCTGAAAATTAACCACCCTAATGCTATTTGGGGGATGTGGTTAGGTTAGGTTAGCATTAGGGTGGTTAATCTTAAGGTGAAATAAGCTGGGGTGAAGATTCTCCAGATGATCCATTTATTTTATCAGAAGAGCAGTATAAGTTGTCTCATTAGAGTTGTCAAAATCCGCTGTGTCACATTGTGTTGCACTAAATCATGAAGATACTTTTTGGAATGAGAACCATGGGAGAACACAAAGACACTATAAGTGATATCCCCGTTAGCCGGAACAATTGGTGCAGAACTCTAACGGGAATGAGACAACTCTCTCAAACCCATAAAAAATTACCCATCCCTGGAATTATTCTGGGTAAAGTTTCTTGGAATTTTCCGGAAATTGCACATTATTTCATCCTCAGAATTTGCTCCTATACCCGAGGGGAAATTTATTTTGGAGAGTTTCCTGAATTTTTTCAGAAATTTTCAGAATCACACATTATTCCCCCCGCCCCCCCGAATTTGTTCCCAGACCCGAGAAAAAAATTGGAGAGGGTTTTCAGATTTTTTCTAGGAATATTCCAAAAAATGCACCTGATTTTCAACCTCGGAAAATCGTTCCCAAACCCGGAATTTGGAGAAATTTTCCGGAAAAAATTCCAAGCAAATTTCAGTTCTGGCTATTGGAAAGTTCCAGCTAAGATATTACTGTATTAATAAGTTTAGGTCAATGTACTGTACACTGTTAATTCACAATACAGTATCTACATCTGAAATACGTTACTCATTCACTACACTATTTTAGGCCTCTAAAACGTAATTTACATACTGTACGAGTATACAGTCGTCAGTTTAAGGCCTTTTTGTACCTTTATAAAACATATCACTAAACTTCTACAGAAAATGAGCGATGTTATGAGATGCTGTACCACACGTTACACTAAAATGTGGTCATGTGGACGATCAGATTATCTTGATATTGTTTCACATAGTAAAACAATGTGAGGCAACTTGATAATGAACAATATAACAAGTTTTAATTAATAAGATTTCATTTTGGAAACTAAAGAGTATTGACCTAACCGAACTTAACCCATCCTAACCTAACCTAACCATATGTTGGTCAGTCAGGACCAACGACTAAAAAAAAAAGTTAACATTTCTTAATTATTAATGTCAATGTTGTTGTGTTATGTTTAGAAGCTTCAACTGCTAGGCTGACTCGCACTACTGAATATAAATGTTTAACATAATAGAGAGTAAAGTTTATCTCTCACGTCCAGATCTACTTGTAAATATATCGTATGTATAGGCTTAAGGGTAATGTACAGTCTCGGAAGAAGTCCTCCGTCACATCCACGAACACTGAGACTCGGTCATGAACCTGTGAATCTGAGACGTGACACATTTTTGGGTCTTACATTCACAGGTTCCTGAGTCTCAGTGTTCATGGATGAGCAGGAGGACTGACAAGACATTTTTCCGTGACTGTACATTGTTTCGGTTGCGTTTATTATCGCATTAGGTATAATTGGATACATGATCCCAGTTATTTCTTTGAAACTCCAGAGCTTCATGTGAACGAGTCACGAGGTTGGTAGGTGGGTTAGGGACCTGAAAGACACATGGAGGGGTGGGTTAGGGACCTGAAAGACACATGGAGGGGTGGGTTAGGGGCCTGAAAGACACATGGAGGGGTGGGTTAGGGACCTGAAAGACACATGGAGGGGTGGGTTAGGGGCCTGAAAAACCTATGAAGGGGGTGGAGTTGGGGACCCCTGAAAGACACATGGTGGGGGTTGGTTAGGGGACCTGAAAGACACGCCAGAGGGGTGGAGTTGAGGACCTGAAAAGACACATGGAGGGGGTGGAGTTAGGGGCCTGAAAGACACATGAAGGGGGTGGGTTAGGGACCTGAAAAGACACATGAAGGGGGTGGGTTAGGGACCTGAAAGACACATAATTGTTGGGGTTGGTTAGGGACTACAAGAAGAAGACACATGGAGGGGTGGTTTGGGGACCTGAAAGACACATGGAGGTGGTGGATTAGGGACCTGAAAGACACATGAAGGGGTGGGTTAGGGACCTGAAAAGACACATGGTGGGATTGGTTAGGGACCTGAAAGACACACACATGAGAGGGGGTGCAGGTTAGGGACCTGAAAGACACATGGTGGGGTTGGTTAGGGACCTGAAAGACACATGGAGGGGGGGGTGGATTAGGGACCTGAAAGACACATGAAGGGGTGGGTTAGGGACCTGAAAGACGCACATGGAGGGGGTGGGTTGGGACCTGAAAGACACATGGAGGGGTGGATTAGGGACCTGAAAGGCACATCAGCAAGGGTGGGTTAGGGACCTGAAAGACACATGGAGGGGTGGGTTAGGGACCTGAAAGACACATGTAGGGGTGGGTTTGGGACCTGAAAGACACATGAAGGGGTGGGTTAGGGGCCTGAAAGACACATGAAGGGGTGGGTTAGGGACCTGAAAGACACATGGAGGGGTTGAGGATGTTGTATGGAGTGGGCGAGGGAAGATAGTTAGTCATATGAGGTGGGAAGACAGGTTGGTGAGGAACTACTGAAATCACACAGAGCAGGAACTATATTTTAATGTGCATCTCCTCCTATTCTTCCTCCTCCTCTTCCTCCATTTGTTCCTCCTCCTCTTCTTCCTCCTCCTCTTCCTCTTCTTCCTCCTTCTCCCTTTCTTCTTCCCCCCTCCTCCCCGTCGTCATCTGCCTCCTCCTTGCTCGTCCTCTTCTTTCTCCATCCCGTTTTCAGGTGTCACTTGAAGCTCAAGGAGGATATTGTGTGGTTAGTCTGTTAGTCCGCCACAGGTCTCCGCTAGTTGCTTCACCAGGTCATATTCTCTGGCACTTTTTAAAGATTTGGACCCTGTAATTTGGATCTAATGGTGACCAAATTTTTGAGGAAAGAATAATTTTTCTCTTTTAATTTTTTCCATCATAATTTGTTCACGGCAAGACGTAGGGGGAGGTTAACTAGTGAACGGCCCACATCTTGTCTTTAACTCTTTAGTGGCCAGATGGTTGTCTAGGCTAAATGAAATACCTAAGGGCTATACTGTTCTCTAAAGGGTTAATAAGATGGAGATGCAAATGTACTATTAACTGATAGTGATGCAAGTATTACTATTAACTGATAGTGATGCAAGTATTACTATTTACTGATAGTGATGCAAGTATTACTATTAACTGATAGTGATGCAAGTATTACTATTAACTGATAGTGATGCTGAATGTTTTCTGTAACTGATGAGTGATGCAGAGTATTACTTATAGACTGATAGTGGTACCGTGTTACTGTTAACTGATGATGCCGTGTGTATTAACTTCAGTAGTGATGCAAGTATTGCTATTAGCGGTAGTAGAGAAGTATTACTTATTAACTGATAGTGATGCAAGTATTACTATTAACTGATAGTGATGCAAGTATTACTATTAACTGATAGTGATGCAAGTATTACTATTAACTGATAGTGATGCAAGTATTATTATTAACTGATAGTGATGCTAGTATTACTATTAACTGATAGTGATGCAAGTATTACTATTAACTGATAGTGATGCAAGTATTACTATTAACTGATAGTGATGCAAGTATTACTATTAACTGATAGTGATGCAAGTATTACTATTAACTGATAGTGATGGAAGTATTACTATTAACTGATAGTGATGTAAGTATTACTATAAACTGATAGTGATGTAAGTATTACTACTAACTAATAGTGATGTAAGTATAACTATTAACTGATAGTGATGCAGGTTTTATTAATTAAAGGTCTTATACTAATATGTTTATGATATAAGATTCATTAATTAGATACCTGACTTTTGTGTAAACTCGCTTTATTTTAATCGAGAACAAGTCAAAGGTTTGATCAGTTGAGCTCTGCAGTTTGTGAAGTGTACAAAAAATTCTAGTCTTTAACCTATAAGGAATATTATGTCTGTCGCGTGGAGAGAATAGATGTTGTCTAAGTGTCTTAAAATATTATTGTATAGTAATGTATACCATAATGAATAATATTGGTTGAATAGAATAGGTAGTACTGTACTTTAACAGGAAATATTTTCAATAATAATCTGGTACACTAAGTTTGGTCGTAAAGCCAATTAATTTGTCAAACTACTGTACATAGTTATCCTTCATAAAGCAATCCACAGTTTCCTAATGAAAATTTACACAAATTTACTCCAAAAGCTTAAATTGTAGAGTTATGAAAATTATCTACAGTATACGATTGTTGCTTTTGATATTTTGTTTAAATTTCCAAAATATCTTAGACTTTTAATTTCTTCCTTCTTTATTATTCTTTATTCCCTATTCCTTAATTTCCTTCCTTATCTCTTCTTTCCTTTTCTTCTCCTCCTCTTTATTTTTATTTTCCTCTTCATCTTTCATTTTCTCCTCCTCCTCCTCTTCTCCCTTCATTTTTCTTGTTCCTTTACTCTTCCTCCTCTTATACATGCATGACAGCCCGCGCTTCGCTGTGACATCTTTAGTGAGAGGCAATACGCTGGACTTACCCAAACTTCCAGTGATACATGCTCAAAGGGCTTGTGTTCAAAGTTTAATTCCCAACACTGATCAATACACCTTCATAATATTAATTAGTCTCAGTAAGTATGAAATTAAAATACTGTAGCTCTCACTCAGGTACGAGAGAGTTTGAATAGATAGGTAATTTTGTGGTCAGTGACATACTCTTGTTATCCTACCTCGGCAAAGTCCAACACCATACAACACACTCCAACGTTAAATCATTT